AAGTACTTTAGAATCATTTAGAAACATTTATATGGAGACCCCGGTGGCGCAGTGGACTCATTTGAGCCATTTAGCTCACAAAATGCAACCAGCGAAAGAATATAATTCATTAACATTCATGTTTGATAGTTTCTCAATCCGTTTGGAATACTGTGTAACATAACAAATTAAGAAGCACTCAATACTTCAAGATGGATCTGGAATGCAGAAAAGTGAACCACTACTCAAAATCCTGGGTGAGAACTGAGTTTTTGTTGTTGTGTCAGGAGAGACTTGAGAAACTGCAAGTCGCTTCTGGTGTGAGAAAATTGGCCGTCTGCAAGGACGTTGCCCAGGGGACGTTGCCTGGATGTTTTACCATCCTTGTGGGAGGTTTCTCTCATGGCTCTGCATGAGGAGCTGGAGCTGATAGAGGGAGCTCATCCGCGCTCTCCCCGGATTCGAACCTGCGACCTGTCAGTCTTCAGTCCTGCCGGCACAAAGGTTTAACCCACTGCGCCACCGAGGGCTCCGAGAACTAGGTTGAGAAATCAACATTCCTTAGGATAATATTTTCCCCCTTGGAATATACTGCATTTCCAATTAAAAGTAATTCTTTAGGCCCTCAGGGAAATCTGGATTCTATCCTCTTACATGTCAAATAGGAGCGTCCGGTGGTGCAGTGGGTTGCTCCGGTGGTGCAACGGCAGAACCTGAATCTGGGGAGAGTGCAGATGAGCTTCCTCTGTCAGCTCCAGCTTTCCATATGGGGACGTAAGAGAAGCGTCCCACAAGGATGAAAAACAGCAAACATCCCTGAGTAACGTCCTTGCAGACAGCCAAATCTCTCACACAAGTAGCGACTTGCAGTTTCTCAAGTCACTCCTGACATAAAAAACAAAAACATATCAAATTGTTTAAATTGCACTCACAAAACATGTTAATTTTAAAAGGTCAGCATAATTACCATATTTACTCAAGTCTCATGTGCCATCGAATCTAATGCGCACATGTTTTCAAAACCCCGAAACCAGATTTCTCATTGAGGATGCTTGCCATAGATGTGGGCGAAACGTCAGGAGAAAATGCCTCTAGAACATGGTCATATAGCCCGAAAAAACCTACAACATCCCGGATTTCTCATTATTTCTATGGACTTAAAAACCTGAAAAAGGAATATCCCCATTGGTACTTTCAACTTCAGTTCCAACTTGATTGTTTCTTTCTATGTATTGTCGAAGGCTTTCGTGGCTGGAATCACTGGTTTGTTGAAGGTTTTTCGGGGCTATATGGCCATGTTCTAGAACAGTGTTTCTCAACCTGGGGGTCGGGACCCTTGGGGGGGGGGTGTCAGAGGGGTCACCAAAGACCATTAGAAAACACAGTATTTTCTGTTGGTCATGGGGGTTCTGTGTGGGAAGTTTGGTCGAATTCTATCATTGGTGGGGTTCAGAATGCTATTTCATTGTAGGTGAACTATAAATCCCAAAAACTACAACTCCCAAATGTCAAGATCTATTTTCCCCAAACTCCACCAGTGTTCACATTTGGGCATATTGAGTTTGGTCCAGATCCACCATGGTTTGAGTCCACAGTGTTCTCTGGGTGTAGGTGTACTACAACTCCAAAAACTCAAGGTCAATGTCCACCAGACCCTCCCAGTATTTTCTCTTGGTCATGGGAATTCTGTGTACCAAGTTTTATTCATTGGTGGAGTTCAGAAGGCTCTTTGATTTTAGGTGAACTATAAATCACAGCACCTCCAACATTCCCAAATGACGAAATCAATCACCCCCAACCCCACCAGTATTCAAATTTGGGCATATCGGGTATTTGGAATTTGAATATCTGCATATCAGATATTTACATTATGATTACAGTTATGAAGTAGCAACAAAAATGTTATGGTTGGGGGTCACCCAGGGGCGGCTCAACCATTACGCAAAGTAAGCATTCGCAGTAGAGTTGTCTAGGGGTGCTCTTGGGGGAAAATAGACCTTGACATATGCGAGTTGTAGTTACTGGGATGTATAGTTCACCTACAATCAAAGAGCATTCTGAACTCTACCAATGACGGAATTGAACCAAATATGGCACACAGAACCCCCACGACAAACAGAAAATATATATCAGTGATTGGTTTGGGGGGGGGGGGTGCCAAAATACTGTTTGCTTACCGTTGAAAATTACCTAGGGCCGCCTCTGGGGTCACCACAACATGAGGAACTCTATTAGGAAGGTTGAGGAACACTGTTCTAGAAGCATTCTCTCCTGACGTTTCGTCTGCATCTATAGCAGGCAGACCTCACAACCTCAGAGGATGCTTGCCATAGATGCAGGCGAAACGTCAGGAGAGAATGCTTCTAGAACATGGCCGTTTAGCCTGAAAAACCAACAACACCCCATTGATTGTTTAAGTTCTAGTTTCAACAGTGAAAAACATCCATCCCTTTTTACTGCATGTCCAATTGAGCAGTTGTTCCTTGCTTAAATTAAATCAAGATGTCTGTATCTGCGCAGAGGGCCAGATAAATAAAGTCCCAGCCTATAAATCCTCTGTTCCCTGAAGCCAAGAAAGTGTCTCTCTGCACAATCAAATCCAACAATCCAGACAATGTCCTGAGAGCCATGCATCCTCCTTTGCCCATGTGAACTGCAGATTGCCTGCATAATTTAATAGGTGTCGAAACGTGACCTGCAACTCTTGCTGAACTTAGTTTCCCCGGCATATTTACCTCCTTTCCCACAACGTCACCGTAATTTGGTTCTGCAAGACCTTTCAAGCTGCTATAACCTATGTTTAGTTTCAAAGGAACGGTTTAGTTTAACGTATAAGGCACTTAGCAAATTCCAAAAATCTATTTTTTTTTCATGTTAATGCACTGCAGTTTGCAAATATGCTAAAATAAAGTTATTTAACGTGAAGCAAAAATCATGTAAATCTATATACTACTCTGCAGACAAAGACATAGCCATGTTAGTGTAGACCCAGTTATGGAAAGTTTAAGCTATTGTCGAAGGCTTTCAGGGCCGGAATCACTGGGTTGTTGTACGGTTTTCGGGCTGTCTGGCCATGTTCCAGAAGCATTCTCTCCTGACATTTCGCCTGCATCTATGGCACGCATCCTCCGAGGTCGCTTCAGGTGTGAGAGAATTGGCCGTCTGCAAAAATTACCTAGGGCCGCCTCTGGGGTCACCACAACATGAGGAACTCTATTAAGGGGTCACGGCAGTAGGAAGGTTGAGAAACACTGTTCTAGAAGCATTCTCTCCTGACGTTTCGCCTGCATCTATGGCATGCATCCTCCGAGGTCGCTTCTGGTGTGAGAGAATTGGCCGTCTGCAATGACGTTGCCCAGGGGACGCCTGGATGATTTGATGTTTTTATCATCCTTGTGGGAGGCTCACACCAGAAGCGACTTGCAGTTTCTCAAGTCACTCCTGACACGACCAAAAATAAAAAGGTACTGAGGTTGTGGGCTTTGTTGGAAACTAAGAAAATTGGGTTTCTATATCTGTGGAATGATGTAAAGGGTGGGAGAAAGAACTCTTGTCTGTTGGAGCGAGGTGTGAATGTTTCAATTGGCCACCTTGATTAGTATTTGATGGCCCGACAGTTTTCAACAGAAAGGAAGCCATGAAAATGAACAAAATATGGCTACCAGTACTAAAAAAAAATTCCAAAATTATAACAAAACAAATACAGGGGAACTCCAGACAAGAAACAATCAGGGACAGCTAATCACCTCTCAACAAAGGATTCCCCAGGCAGTAAGAAGCCAGACCTTGAAAACTGCCAGGCCATCAGATGCTAATCAAGATGGCCAATTGAAACATTCACACCCAGTTCCAACAGACATGAGTTCTTTCTCCCAGGAAGTCCAGACAAGAAACAATCAGGAACACCTAATCACCTCTCAATGAAGGATTTCCCCAGGCAGCAACAAGCCACACCTAAGAACTGCCAGGCCATCAGATGCTAATCAAGATGGCCAATTGAAACATTCACACCTAGTTCCAACCGACATGAGTTCTTTCTCCTGGGAAGCCCAGACAAGAAACAATCAGGAACACTGAATCACCTCTCAACCAAGGATTATCCCAGGCAGTAACAAGCCACACCTAAAAACTGCCAGGCCATCACATGCTAATCAAGGTGACCAATGAAAACATTCACACCTAGTTCAAACAGACAGGAATTCTTTCTTCCGGGAAGTCCAGACAAGAAACAATTAGTAACACCTAATCACCTCTCAACAAAGGATTTTCCCAGGCAGTAACGAGCCACACCTAAAAACTGTCAGGCCATCAGATGCTAATCAAGGTGGCCAGTGGAAACATTCACACCTACCTCCAACAGACATGAGTTCTTTCTCCCAGGAAGTCCAGACAAGAAACAATCAGGAACACCTAATCACCTCTCAACAAAGGATTCTCCCAGGCAGTAACAAGCCACACCTGAAAACTGTCAGGCCATCAAATGCTAATCAAGGTGGCCAATGGAAACATTCACACCGAGCTCCAACAGACATGAGTTCTTTCTCCCACCCTAATATATTGTATGTATATATATCTTGTGAGCCGCTCTGAGTCCCCTTCGGGGTGAGAAAAGCAGCATATAAATGTTGTAAATAATAATAATAATAATAGTTGCACAGATATATAAACCCCATTTTCCTAGTTTCCAACAGACCTCACAACCTCTGAAGATGCTTGCCATAGATGCAGGCGAAACGTCAGGAGAGAATGCTTCTGGAACATGGCCATACAGCCCAAAAAACCTACAACGACCCAAAGTTTAAGCTACTAACTTCTTTCTTTCAGTGTCAAAGGTGCTACAAGATCGCTTTGCATACTCAAGAGAAAATACTTCTGGACATAGGCTAGACCTGCTTTTCCCAGCCTTTTTACCCTGGAGGATCCCTTGAAATCATGCTCATTACATCAAAATATGTTCATTTTTATTTATTTACTCTATTTGTATACTGCCGCACTCAGCCTTCCAACGACTCGAGGCAAAAGACTGAGAGGGGCAGTATACAAATATAGTAAATAAATAAAAATGAACATATTTTTTCCCAATCCAAAACTCTTGTGGCGCTCCTAATGACCTCATAATGACCTCCAGGGAACCTTAGTCGAAAAACCCTGGACTCGGCTGAATGCTCTTCTACTTCTCAAACTTCCATGCTTGGTTTTTATCTCCGGCACTACACGTCGTCATCTGGATATCGGCTCGCCCCTCAGGAGTACGGTAAGCGCTGAGGCATTTTCCTGAATGGGGATGATAAATGGTCCCATCTTCTCTAAATTCCCATTTAATGGTTTCTGGGACGAAAGAGCCGTCTTTCGGGCATGTCCTCATCCCTACGAAATCCTTTTGTTCGGGCACCTCGGCACAAAGCTCGGTCACGGAGTTAAATCTGATTTCTCGATTCAGCGTATACTCAAAAAACTGGTTGCCCCCTTGGCCGTGGCATCCGAAGAGGCTCACGTGGGCCCCCGTAGGGTTGTGTTCGGGGGAATTGTAGTCCAGACACTCGGAGGAGATGCCCATACTGCGGATCGCCCCATGCCAGCCGGGTCGATCCTCCGGCACGTGCAAATTGGGGAATATGTTTTTCAAGTACCAGTCAAAGTTATTGCACTTCAAGTGCTTTCTGAGGAGTTTTCTCTCCGCAAGATCGCCGAAGTTTTCCTTCCGTGCCGGAGGATTCCTGTTGTAGAAGTGCTCTTTGTAGTCGTCCATCCACACTTCGGCCGCCCGTGCCGTGTTCTGAAGGAAGTTGGGCCTGGCATACGGCGCCCGTTTAGGAAACACGTGCCCGACGTGCGAACAAGGGTGGATCTCCAGGATACCGCCACACTGCCAGACCCGAAAGGAGAGCTCCAGGTTCTCTCCGCCCCAGACGTCCATCCCCATGTCATAGGTGCCAAGGTATTCAAAGTACTTTTTACTGACCGCAAACAGGCCCCCAGCCATGGTCGGGGATCTTATGGGGTCGATTTTAGATTTCCGCCGTTGGCGCTCGTAGTTGGGCACCGAGTGCCACTGAAAGGTCAGCCGCCAGTCGAACCCACCGATCATGGGCTCTCCCGGCTGCATGTAGAACTCAAACGTGTTCCAATCGATGGTGTCGATGACGGGGCAAATGATGACGCTCTCGTTCTCGGCCACTCTCTGGAGAAGCGGCTCCAGCCACCCGGGGACACACTCGCAATGGCAGTCGAGGAAGGTGAGGACGTCGCCCGTGGCAAAGGTGGCACCGATCAACCTGGCCCGGACCAGCCCTTCCCGCTTGTTGGTCCTGATCAAGCGGACCCTTTGCAGGTCGCTGATGTACTTTTCGAGCTCGCCCTTCAGGTACGCTTTGTCGCTCAGGTCGTCCACCAGGATGATCTCCTTGAGGAGAACGGCCGGCGAAGACTCTAGGACACTGTGGATGGTCCGGAGCAAAGTGGACCAGGCTTCGTTGTAGAACGCGATGATGACGGAGGTGGTGGGCAGCCGTCGGTAGTCGTACGCCTTGGATCTGCACTCCGGCATGCGCCCGTCGTCGATGTGGCGGTGCAGCGAGATCTTATCGCTTAGGTAGATGTTGATGGCATAGCGCTCCACCAGCTCGTCCTCCAACTTCTTCTCTTCAGGACTCAGCGTCAAGCGGGCCGCCTTGCCCCACTCCCCCAGGGCGCGGGGGTCTGGAGGGGGCTTTTGGTACACTGGCTGGGACAGCTCCTCCCTCTCCTCAGCCCTGTTCGAAAAATGCCTCTCCCACCTCCCTTTGGTGGCCCCATTTCCCAGCCCCCCAGAGGAAGGCGCCTGGAAGCTGGAAATGGACAGCTCCACCAGGAAGAAAGTGGCCCCGACAATCAGGAGCCCCAGCAGCAGGTAGGGCCCCTTCCTGGACAGCCGGACCTTCATGGTAAGCAGCACACGGACACGCACTTAGGCTCCGGTCATCAAGAATCTCAGGAATCCAGCGGCTGGATCACAAGAGGCTGTTGAGCAATCAATCACAAGGGGTCCAGCAGAATGGAGGGAGACCAAGAGGGTAGTCATCAGCCACAAAGCAACTCCAACAAATTACGTTTTCTTGACCTTGGTAGTGAATCCAAGTCCAGGGAAGCATGAGGAGTACTCCAGGAGAATGGTTGAGAGCAGCAAGGAAGCCCTGGGAGGTGTATAGGCAGCTGCCTCCAGGTGCCTGGTGTCCTAATTAGTCAGCGTCTCCTATTTAACAGCCACCGGACATCATCTCCATGGAAGGATGGTAATCTCGTAATGACTTCCTCGCATTTCTTGCTGGGACCACCAGGGATAGAATCCAAGTGTTGAGAGCAAGGAGGTTCCAGGAGTTGTATAGACAGCTGTCTCCAGGTGCCTGGTGTCCTAATTAGTCGGTGTCTTCTATTTCACAGTCACTGGACATCACCTTCTAGTAGAAAGTTGGTAATCCTGTAATGAGCTCCTCCCACTTCTTGCTGAGGTTGAGAGCAAGGAGGTTCCAGGAGGTGTATAGGCAGCTGCCTCCAGGTGTCCTAATTAGTCAGCGTCTCCAACTTAACAGCCGCTGGACATCATTTCTTCATGGAAAGAGACTTCCTCCCACTTCTTGCTGAGGTTGAGAGCAAGGAGGTTCCAGGTGATGTATAGGCAGCTGCCTCCAGGTGCCTGGTGTCCTAATTAGTCGGCGTCTCCAACTTAACAGCCACTGGACATCATTTCTTCATGGAAAGAGACTTCCTCCCACTTCTTGCTGAGGTTGAGAGCAAGGAAGTTCCAGGAGGTGTATAGACAGCTGCCTCCAGGTGCCTGGTGTCCTAATTAGTCGGCGTCTCCTACTTAACAGCCGCTGGACATCATTTCTTCATGGAAAGAGACTTCCTCCCACTTCTCGCTGCGACCACCAGGGATAGACTCCAGGAGAGAAGGGTTGAGAGCAAGGAGGTTCCAGGAGATGTATAGGCAACTGCCTCCAGGTGTCCTAATCAGTGGTTGGGATCCACTCCATGATGTTTTTCGATCTCTTCCTCATTCTCCAATGGAGGGTGGCAATGGATCTGAGGGTGGCTTGGACATCTATCTGCCTCTTCTGGTTGAGGGAGAGCCTCCAATGACCCTCATGAGAGGAGGCCCATGCCTAACAAGGCACCTTCTTCCTTCTCCTGGATCTTCTCCCCAGTATGGCTTCTCCAAATCGCCTCAGGTGGAAGCAAAGTTTGAAGGCGGTTGCTCTCCTTCTTCTTTCCTTCTCTCTCCCTTGAAAGAAACCGGCTACTGAGAGGAAAGAGTCCTTCTTTCCTCAGGGGAGGAGAAAAGGGCGGCTGTGGGAAGGAATGAAGCCAAGTCTGAGGCGAGGAGGCGAAAGAAAGAAGGAAGGAAGCCCTTTTCTCCTCAGGAGCACCTTTCCAAGCCTTCATGAGAGGAGGCCCATGCCTACCAAGGCGCCTTCTTCCTTCTCCTGGATCTTTTCCTCAAGTATGGCTTCTCCAAATCGCATCAGGAGGAAGCAAAGTTTGAAGGCGGTTGCTCTCCTCCTTCTTTCCTTCTCTCTCTCTTGAAAGAAACCGGCTTCTGTGAGGAAAGAGTCCTCACTCTTTCCTCACAGCTGTGGAAAGGAATGAAGCCAAGTCTGAGGCGAGGAGGGGAAAGAAAGAAGGAAAGAAGCCTTGTTCTCCTCAGGAGCGCCTTTCCAAGCCTTCTCCTCCTCCTGTTCTCCTCAGAAGCCGTCTCTCAGCGCCTTCTCCGCCTCAGAAAAGTTGCCTCGGAAGGAGGAAGGCGGAGGGAGGGAAGGAGGGAAGGAGGGAGGGCTCCTCCGGAGGAAGACGGGCTTCTTCCCGCCCCGAGTGGGACGGCCCACGCGCCCGCCCCTTCTGCTCCTTCCTCTTCGTCCTCCTCCTCCTCCTCCTCCTCTCAGGTTTCTCTGAGGGAAAAACCGCCACTAGAAAAACAGGGGGAAAAGGGCGGGAAACAGAAAGAGCGGGAAAGAAAGAGAGAGACTGAGGGGAAAATTAGTCAGAATTAGGTTTCCTGAGGGAAAAGTGAAGGAGGGCTGAGAGAATAACTCCAAAGGAGGAGAAACAGCAGGCATGGCTAAACTTTGGCCCTGCCTCAAGGTGTTTTGGACTCCAACTCCCACCATTCCTCACAGCCTCAGGCAGCCCTTTCCCTCTCAGCTGCTTAATATCTGGAGGGAGGTGTTACGAATTAATTTATTTATTTGTCGTGTCAGAGCAACCAGTCCATTGTATTACATTTCTAACAAAACAAAGCAAACAAACAGACAAATATAAAACTTGTGAGTTTGGTAGTTGGTTAAATGTCCTTTGACCAGTATCTGGCCACTTGGAGTGCCTCTGGTGTTGCCACAAGAAGGTCCTCCATTGTGCATGTGGCAGGGCTCAGGGTGCATTGCAGCAGGTGGTCAGTGGTTTGCTCTTCTCCACACTCGCATGCTGAGGATTCCACCCTGTAGCCCCATTTCTTAAGATTGGCTCTGCATCTCGTGGTGCCAGAGCGCAGTCTGTTCAGCGCCTTCCAAGTCGCCCAGTCCTCTGTGTGCCCAGGGGGGAGTCTCTCATCTGGTATCAGCCATTGGTTGAGGTTCTGGGTTTGAGCCTGCCACTTTTGGACTCTCGCGTGCTGAGGTGTTCCAGCGAGTGTCTCTGTAGATCTTAGAAAACTATTTCTAGATTTAAGTCGTTGATGTGCTGGCTGATACTCAAACAGGGGATGAGCTGGAGATGTCTGCCTTGGTCCTTTCACTATTGGCTGCTACTTCCCGGAGGATGTCAGGTGGTGCAATACCGGCTAAGCAGTGTAATTTCTCCAGTGGTGTAGGGCGCAGACACCCCGTGATAATGCGGCATGTCTCATTAAGAGCCACATCCACTGTTTTAGCGTGGTGAGATGTGTTCCACACTGGGCATGCGTACTCAGCAGAAGAGTAGCATAGCGCAAGGGCAGATGTCTTCACTGTGTCTGGTTGTGATCCCCAGGTTGTGCCAGTCAGCTTTCGTATGATATTGTTTCTAGCACCCACTTTTTGCTTGATAATCAGGCAGTGCTTCTTGTAGGTCAGAGCAAAAGACACAGTAACTTTGCACAAAAGCAGGAGGAAAAAGAACAGAAAACTTTACTCAGCAGAAGAGAAGGCTGAGGGGAGATATGATAGTCATGTATAAATGTCAGAGGAAGCCACAGGGAGGAGGGAGCACGCTTGTTTTCTGCTTCCTTGGAGACTAGGACGCAATGGAACAATGGCTTCAAACTACAAGAGAGGAGATTCCATCTGAACATGAGGAAGAACTTGCTGACTGGGAGAGCCGTTCAGCCGTGGAACTCTCTGCCCTGGAGTGTGGTGGAGGCTCCTTCTTTGGAGGCTTTTAAACAGAGGCTGGATGGCCATCTGTCAGGGGTGTTTTGAGTTCTATTTTCCTGCTTCTTGGCTGAATGGGGTTGGACTGGATGGCCCAGGAGGTCTCTTCCAACTTTATGATTCTATCTCCATTTCTAAGCTGAACATCCGGTGTTGTCCATAGACACCTCCAAGGTTATGTGGCGAGCATGACTGCATGGAGCACCATTACCTTCCTGATGGAGCAGTACCTATTGATCTACTCACATTTGTATGTTTTCAAACTGCTAGGTTGGCAGAAGCTGGGCCTAACAGCAAGAGCTCACCCCGCTCCCCAGATTCGAACCGCCAACCTTAGGGTGTATCTATGCTGCAGAATGAACCCACTTTAACTTTCCTTGGTTCAATGCTACAGAATCACGGGGGATGTAGTTCTGAAAGGGTCTTTGAGTGAAATTTGCAAATGCTAAGCAAGGGGCTTTGAATAAAATTTACAGCAAAAGAGAAACATACCCTTTCTCTGTAGAAAAGGAGCAACAGGAAAGAAAATGTTTTTAAGAAACAAGATGTGACATGTAGAGGTCGGAAGTTGTGTTGTGGTTAAGGTCAAAGGTTGTGGTTAAGTGCAGAGTCTGCAGGTACAAGAAGGTACTTTCCATCAAAAGGTCAAGGGAGAGGAGCTATTTCCATGACCTATTACTTGAGTATAAAAGTCAACAGAAAAAGAGGAGGGACACGGCAGTCACTTGAAGGGTAGCATCTTCATATGCTGCCAGGCTGTCCATCTTCATGAAGAAACTAAAATAAACCTTGTTTTTTTATCTTTTTTGGGACTGTCTCCTTCCTTACGTGTTCCCGTGATGTGGACCTAAGAAGACCCAATTTAGGGTCTCTAACAGTTTGACAAGATCTTGAGTTTTCTCTGCGAAAGAGTGTGGATACCTCACCAAACTACAAATTCCAGCATTGCATAGTATTGAGCGACGACAGTTAAATTATAGATGATCTCCCTCCAACAGGAATGCTAGGTGCAGCTTCCCCTTTGGCTTTGGCGCAGATTACCTTATTACATGGACCTAATGTGCACCCTAATTTTGGCAAGTGGGATTTCTGCCCTATGACAAACCCTAGGCAAACTTATCAAGGTTTGTTTGGAGGAGGGTAATATGCCACTGCCTTTCTCTGAGGCTGAGAGAGTGTGACTTTCCCATGGTCACTCAGCTGGGTTTCCATGGCTGAGCGGGGATGCAAAGCATAGTCCCGAGTCCAAAGCATTACGCGATGCTGGGCCTCTTGAATGATAATTTACTATCATTTAACTACACCGAAAATTAGCTCTTTGCAGCAGCTGCCTCACACTGAAACCTTGTCCTCTCTGAGGGCATCTTGCCTCTTTATGTACAAGGATGTCATTGTTGTAATGGAGAATCATTGAAGGATGTGAATCATTTCTATTTACGAGAAACTCAAAGGACAGTACTATCTCTATTCTACAGAAGTATGGGGTAGAAGAGTGGTTCTCAACCTTCCTAATGCCGCAACCCCTTAATACAGTTCCTCATGTTGTGGTGGCCCCCCAACCATAACATTATTTCAGTTGCTACTTCATAACTATAATTTTGCCATGTAAATATCTGATATATGGGATGTACTTCCATTCACTGAACCCAATTGAGCACAAATACCTGATATGCCCACATATGAATACAGGTGGGGTTGGGGGGGGGGGGGGGGATTGATATTTTGATTTGGGAGATGTAGTTGCTGGGATTTATAGTTCACCTACAATCAAAGAGCATTCTGAACTCCACCAACGAGGGAACTGAACCAAACTTGGCACACAGAACTGTCATAACCAACAGAAAATACAGGAAGGGTTTGGTGGGCATTGACCTTGAGTTTTGGAGTTGTAGTTCACCTACATCCAAAGAGCACTATGGACTGAAACAATGATGGAGATGGACCAAATTTGGCACGAATACTCACTATGCCCAGATGTAAACACTGGTGTAGTTTGGGGAAAATAGACTTGATATTCAGAAGTTGTAGTTGCTGGGATTTATAGTTCACCTACAATCTAAGAGCATTCTGAACTCCACCAACGATGGAATGGAACCAAACTTGACACACAGGACTCCCATGACCAACAGAAAATACTGGAAGGGTTTGGTAGGCATTGACCTTGAGTTTTGGAGTTGCAGTTCACCTACATCCAAAGAGCACTGTGGAATGAAACAATGATGGAGATGGACCAAAGTTGGCACGAATACTCAATATGTCCAGATGTGTACACTGATGGAGTTTGGAGAAAATAGTCTTGACATTTGGGAGTTGTAGTTGCTGGGATTTATAGTTCACATACAATCAAAGAGCATTCTGAACCCCATCAATGATAGAATTGGGCCAAACTTTCCACACGGAATCCCCACGACTAACAGAAAATACTGTGTTTTCTGATGGTCATTGGCGACCCCTCTGATACCCCCTTGCGACCCCCCCAGGGGTCCCGACCCACAGGTTGAGAAACACTGGAGTAGAACATCTTGCTTCAGTTCTGAATTTGCGGTGTTGCCTTGCGTGTGCCTTCAAGGCACCTGCCCACTTATGGCGATCCCTTGATTATTCTTAGGCCAGCAATTATCTGATAGCCTCTGCCCTCTGAGGAAACAGTTGCTATGACCTGTTAATTACAGTATGCACAAAATAGAAGTGAAACACTGAATGCACCAAAGTGTTGCATAACTACTGAAATTGTAATTATTGTCTTCTGCATTCTAAACTTGTGCAGTCCAAGGAAACGTGTAATTTGTGTTTATTTTCCTCTGTGCAGATCAATCCTGAGCTGCCACAAGGGAGCAAAATGTCACAAAACGATGGGGCCATCTGCTGGTAGCGTTTGCAAACTCACACCCTTACAGTCCGAGAAACTGTCAGGAAAATCAGCGAGTTAGGATTTTATGTGTGTGTGTGTGTGAGGAGTGACTTGAGAAAGTGCAAGTTGCTTCTGGTGTGAGATAATTGGCCACCTGCAAGGAAGTTGTCCAGGGGACGCCCGGATCAGGAAGTGGCCTGATGCTGTTAGGAATGGTGGAAGTTGGAGTCCAAAACACCCGAAGGGTCAAAGTTTGCTCATTCCTGATTTAGGCCCTTTGCAAAACGTACTTTTAGTAGTACAATCCCTTATGAAAGAGATGACAGAGACTTTTTAGGTTTGTGTGTCTGTCAGGAGAAGCTTGAGAAATTGCAAGTCGCTTCTGGTGTGGGAGAATTGGCCATCTGCAAGGACATTGCCCAGGGAATGCCCGGATGTATTTATGTTTTACCTTCCTTATGGGAGCCTTTTCTCATGTTGTGCTGGTACGGCCGTACCAGAAGCTCCAACTTTATTTGTTTTGTATTAAGTGTTTGCTTGCAGCCCAAGGCTTGGGATTCTGCAGAAGGGTGGCTTCCTGAT